GTGGCATCAAAAAGTTGAAGCATTAATGGAATCACAAACTCTATACATGTATAGCAACTTCAAGGAGAGAGAAGAATGTTTATAACCTAATGATTAATTTCTGCTGAGCCTTAGTTGTCTTAAGGAAAAAGGAGGGAATTGTAGTAGGTAGAAAAAATATTTGTTAATGGAAAATAACTGAACTGAAACCATATAATGTTAGTGTAACTGAATGTATCAGAAGCTGTTCCTATGTATATGTTCTATGACATTGGTTTCTAAAATGTTACAAAACTCTGTTTCTTTTTTTTAAGGGGGAGGTGGGAAGAGTTAGGGAGATCTGAAAATTAAAATATGTTGATGTTTATGTAGCCATAATATGTTCCTTTTTCTCTGTGTGTGTATGTGTGTGTGTGTGTCAAAGTGCCTTGCTCATGAACACATTTTTTCTGTTCACTCCAAGAGGAAGACTTTCCCCAGCTTCCCAGCTGAATAAACCAACAGCTTTGTACATGCTAAACAGAGTATGGTCATTTGTTCTTAACAAATGAAATAGATCCTGCTTTGCTTAAGGCATATTCAGCATTCACTAAGTGCTGCATAGAGCCCATAGATAAACAGTGCTTCTGATAGGCGATGACTTGGCAGCTCTAGAAAAGAAACATACTTGAAAAAGAAAGTGTCAGATGTTCAGTCAAGATCCAGATTTTAACCCATGTTTGTGTATGTTAAGTAATTCCAGGTTACACAAAGTGATAGGTACCTGAATAAGCCTTAACCCTTTGCTGCTTTTTGTGTGCCATGGGTGTGTGGCTAGGGGTGAATTTACCACTTTCACACCTGGCCTATGTGAGCCTTTGTTTAAATGCAGTCACCATAGGTAGGATAAAGAAGGATGAGTTTATTCTCTGTTGAAATACTTATCAAAAGAGTAAGGAAACAAGATTTCTAAACCAGTGGACATCAGTGTTATACTTAAAGGTATTATTCTCTCGGTGCAAATAGGCAGCCTCTTTTTGTTGAAGCAGTCCAGATACCTTGAGCCCAGAAGACCATAATCATGTTTTTTTAAGCCCATCAGCTTTCTAAGAGAAGGAAAAAAATCTGGACATGGCAGGAGGAGGGCCGATGTTAGGTCACCTTTAGGGAATTATCTTGCTGGGGCTCCTATCACAAGTATCCATCTAAAAATTTTTCTCTTTTGGAAGCAGTGTTTGTTATTACAGTAGATTGTTAAAGCAGCTAGGAGTTTAGACGTCATTTGGATTGTTTTCTTACTGATAATATAAATTCTCTTGCATCTCTAATAAATGATTTTCTACTTTTGGCTCCATTGTTAGAGAACTCAGTGTCTTTTGGAGCAGCCCATTAATTTTAAATAGAAATTCAGTGATCCGTCTAATAGCATTATGGAGTGCCTACTATAATCCAGACAGTGGGAGTGCAAAATTAAATAAGATACCCTATGTAAGAAATTAGTTTTAAAATTCATTGAATCAACATGAATTACCCCCAATGCTTTTGGCCATTGGTGCCATTTCTGAGCTAGGGTCACAGTAAATAAGCTTACTCTTTATATTGGCCCTTACGTGTTTGAAAATGAGGCAGCCATCCAAGTGTAGTGGAAATTCACATGGAGAGCACATTCCAACAATTAAACCCCACAAGAGGTAATTAGCTAAGGGAATGCATAAAATTAGTATTTTATGCACAGATTTAAATTGTATATACTAAATGGTACACAAAGATCAGGGCCAGAAGTGTTTTGTTCATATGACTGGGATATATATAAAAGTCTGAAAAATCTGGATGGCTTCTCAGACTTCATGAGACAATTTTGTACAAGCTCCTGGCATGTAAGTCTACCAATTAGCAGTGTCCATTGGATTCAGGGAAATTGAAGGAGCTACTCTACCTGACACCAACCACCAGGTATTTCTTCTGTGTCTACTTGCTTTTATTAAAAGGAAAATCTATGATGTTTGCCAATGTTGATCAGAGTTTAGTTTATGGCTAGACGTTTGAGTCTGATCATTGTATACTGTCTTTTCAGCTCCTACTGGTGGCAGCAGTGGGATTATGTACTGTAAAATTTTTGGAAATGAGAGTAAGAAAAGGGTGAGGGTTTCTGACACTTGCTGGCTGCCAGCTTCTCTTAGCTATAAGAACTATGACTGGCTCTTCTCAGTAAGGTATGGAAAAAGAAGACTTGATTTAAAAATGATTTAAGATAACAATGTAGCAGTCAGTGCTGGAGTTGTTCTACTCTATGGAGTCAGCTTAAAATGTTAGCCACAGTTTAGGACTGGAACATAAAACAGTAAGTTGACTGGAATTTGGGCAGTTAACTTGGGAAGAAATAGACGACCCTGATACATGACATGAAAATTCCTGAAATCATTTAGAAAGTTATGCTCTATTCCCTGGAGTAGGATATAACCAGTATTCATCTAGGAGACCAGATCCTGGTCAGCCTAACAAGATTAAAATTTAGGAATTTGGGATTAACATGTACATACTACCATATATAAAATATATAACCAATGAAGACCTACTGTATAGTACAGGGAACTATACGCAGTATCTTGTAATAACCCATAATGGAAAAGAATCTAAAAAAGAGTGTGTGTATGTGTGTGTGTGTGTGTGTATAACTGAATCACTTTGCTGTACACCTGAAAATAACACAGCATTGTAAATCAAGTATATTTCAAATTTTAAAAAATCTGCTCCTAGTATGCACAGAAATTGATGCCAACAGAAGCCAGATGAAACAGTCTTATAATGAATATTGCAGCTTATAAATTAAGGGGCTGGTAATATTTTATTTGGGGAAAACTATTATGTTTGGGTTAACTGCTAAACCCGTGCTTAATGCTACCCTTCCATCCATGGTGTCAGCCTATGAGACCTGACACTTCAATATATCCAATACATATTAACTAGGCAATGGTCTGGTAGGGACAACTTCATTTGGGAGATATGCAAATAATTGGAATAGTCCAAGGGTGTGACCATCTTCCATCAACAAAGACCCTAGTTGGCTTCATGATTATACCCTGAGCAACCAAAATGGCTTGATAGAGTGGCAGAACTCTGGTGACACAATTAAAGGGCCAACCACTCTATGTAGAGAGTTCCTGTATTAGTAGAAAGCATTAGTGTTAGGCACAGCCAAGGCATTCTGTATTGCAAAGTGAGTATACATGGGGTTGCCCCTGGCTACCTGCCTGGTAGTAATATAGATTTTCCTGGTGG